ACTGGGGACTGGAGAGATGGCTCAACAGTTAAGAGCACTGGCTGGCTGCTCTTTCCATAGCACCTGGGTTCAATTCCCAGCACCCACATGACAGCTCACAACTGTCTGTAACTTCAGTTCCAGGGCATCCAACACCCTCATATAAGTATGTATACATTTTTTAAAATAAAAATAAATAATTTTTTGAAAATAGCTGCACTGACATACTCACAAGATCAATGATATAGAAATGAGTCTAATGTCTCCCCACAGATGAACTCAAACATTGGCATGAATATACAGTGAAATATTAGTGAGTCTTAAAAAATAAGATTCCAGGGAGAGATGGCTCAGTGGTTAAGAGCACTGGCTGTTCTTCCAGAGGTCCTGAGTTCAATTCCCAGCAACCACATGGTGGCTCACAGCCATCTGTAATGAGATCTGGTGCCCTCTTCTGGCCTGCAGGTATACATGCAGGCAGAATACCATACCAAATAAATAAAATTATAGAAAAAACAAATCCTTTAATTTTAAAATTTTTTTAAAGTTTTTATTTATTTATTATGTATACAACATTCTGCTTCCATGTATATCTGCACACCAGAAGAGGGCACCAGATCTCATAATGGATGGTTGTGAGCCACCATGTGGTTGCTGGGAATTGAACTCAGGACCTCTGGAAGAGATGTCAGTGCTCTTAACCTCTGAGCCATCTCTCCAGCCCTAATTTTTTAAAATTTTACTTCACTATATTAACTGTCTTACTCTCTGTACATAAACAACAATTTGCTATTAATCTCAAATAAGTATAATAATTTTTAGAAACTGCTTTATGAATGGTAGACAGATAAAGATGTGTAAAATCTCTTTGGTGTGGTGACCTTATCGTGCTGGCTGTGAAGGCTGACTGCATCTGATTTAGAAGGGAAGTCTGTGTAAATATTTTTGCCTCTTCCACTACCATTCATGCCATCATAGAATGACTAAACCGATATTAATATTTTATGTGTTTAAGTGTTTTGCCTGCATTTAAGTATGTTTAACACATGCATGCCGGGGCCTATGGCGGCCAAAAGAAGGTACTGAATATTCTGAACAGAGGTTACATCTATGTAAGTAACCTGCTGTGTGTGGGCTGGCAACTAACTGGGAGTCCTCTGCCAGAGCAGCAAGTCCTCTAAGCCACTGGGTCATCTCTCCAGCCCCAGGGACCAATATGGTTTTACAACTTTCTTTGTGGTGGTTTGAATGGAATTAGCCTGCATAGTCTCATAGCGGTGGCATTATTAGGGAGGCTTTGTTGGAGTGGGTGTGGCCTTCTTGGAGGAAGTGTGTTGCTGTGGGGGCGGGCTTTGAGGTTTCCTATGCTCAGGATACTGCCCAGTGTCTCAGTCAACTTCCTGATGCCTGCTGCACTGGAGCACCAAGCACTCTCAGCTCCAGCACCACTGCTGTTCCCTGTCGTGATGACAATGGACTCAACCTCTGAACTCTAAGCTGCCTTCTAAGGATAAATCTTTCCGCCAGAAGCCGCTGAGCCCCACCGCCACGTGTGAGCTTTTCGCCAACCGCCCGCCAGAGTTAGGGCCCAAATGAATACACAGAAACTTGTATGAGCTTCAAAGCTGCTTGGCCAATGACTAGGATTCTCATCTGTTAGCTCAGTCTCAATTATCATAAATCTGTATATTTTATAAGACTTATCTTATTGGACGCTTATTGGCGTCCCTCCTTGCCGGTGGCTCACATTCTGCCGCTGGAGGAGGCGAACGGGGAAAAAAGGGACTCTTCCTGTTTCTCCTTCGCTTAAATATGAGTCTCCTTGCTATGTCACTTCCTGCCTGGATCAGCACTTCTCTACTACATTTCCCAGAATCCTCTTTGACTCCTAGTCCTGCCTAACTTGCCGTTTCATTGGCCAAACAGTATTTTATTTAACATACACAGAAGTACTTCCCCCATCACTGCCCAATTAAATGTTTTCCTTTATAAGAGTTGCCATGATCGTGGTGTCTCTTCACAGCAACAAAAACCCTAAGACATTAGCCTCATGGCAAAATTTCTTAAGTGATAATTATTTGAGGCCCCTAAATCTTATTTCCTGAGGCTTTCATCGTAAACTAGTTATTACTGAAATCTTTGTCATTTTATCTTTATTTTCCTTTTGATCACACAATTAATTAGAGAATATATAATTCCTAAGAACTTGGGCCTCGCCAGGTGTTGGTGGCGCACGCCTTTAACCCCAGCACTCGGGAGGCAGAGGCTGAGGCAGAGGATCTCTGTGAGTTTGAGACCAGCCTGGTCTACGAGAGCAAGTTCCAGGACAGCCTCCAAAGCCACAGAAAAACCCTGTCTGGAAAAACCAAAACAAAAACACAAACAACAACAACAACAATAAAACAAAAACAAAAAAGAACTTGGGCCTTGATCATAAACTAGTTCTTAGTCAAATCGTTGTCATTTTTTTATTATTTGCATTTTCTTTTGACCACACAATTAATTAGAGAATATATAATTCCTAAGAACTTGGGCCTTGATTGAGAACATGAACTTCAAATTTTATTATAATCAAAAGACAGACAGCATGCAGGCCTTTCTTAAGGGTAGGAATGCCCAAAGGAAGAGGAAATGAATCCTAACGCCTCTGTGAATGTCTGAAAGGCTGCAGTTGCCATCAAAGCCAAACCTCAGAGGAATGAACAAATCTTTTGGGGAGCTGCTCCTGCCCCCACAGACCACCTGCTGTCAGCTTCAAACCTCAGGAAGCCCTGTTCACATCCACCTCTACATTCCTCTTTATCAGGAGGGAACCTGAGAAATCCTCTCAGAGCTGAAAATTAACCTGGTCCCGGGGTTAAGCTTCTGGAAGTCTCATGGGAGCCCACTCTGTCCAGGACCATCCAGGATGAAAAAAGGAATACCGCAGAACTCAGCAGTGTGCAATGTACCTACACTGGAGGAGGAAGGCCAGGAATGTAAACTCAGACTTCAATCTTTGTTTATAGTGGTCCCCAGGCCCTGTGGTCCTGTTTTTTCCCCTTAATTAATCAAGAGGGATGCCGTCCCTGTGCTGCTGATGCCATCACAGGCCACAGAACTCAGAGAATACTTCTGACAGATTTCTAGATAGAGTTTTAAAAACATTTCCCAAATCATTTGACTCCTAGGGCATGAATAACTGACATGATGAAAAACTCATGTTTTTTTTTTTTTTTGGGGGGGGTTGCTTTGTTTTCTTTGAGTGATTGTGTCTATCAGAAGAAATTAACTTTTATACTTTCAGAGCCTACAGGCAAGATTTTCCAATCAGTGGGATGACTATATGTCAAATTGGAGGAATGGATAGACTTGAAAGCCTAAAGCAGTGGTAAATGAAAAAAAAAAAAATGTTTGTCCTACTTTAAAAAATTGCTCAGTGCCGAGCCCTGCACACTTTTATCTGGTCTAATAACACAGATGAACAGATGGCTGTTTCTCTGTCTTCATGACTTATCTTTGCAGCCCTCTTAGAAATATTTATTTGCTTGATGTTGTGAAGGTTCAAACAAATGCCTTTGCTTGCTAGAGAAGTTTATATTATTAAAAAACGAGGAAGGCTTTCAGAATTCACCCATTGGTATTGAATAACCAACTGATGAGCTCTTCCCTGAGGAAAAGTGTTTCTCCTGCTCTCAGCTTTCCTTAGTTGCTTGTTGTTTTTCCTATAGGACTGAGGCTTCATACAAGTAACATTACATAGACTAGTAGGTTGTACTTATTTATTTAGTAAACACACACACACACACACACACACACACACACACACACACACACACACCATACATGTAACAATGAAAAAAGACAACATGAATCTGAAAGAGAACAAGTAGGAGGTTTGGAGGAAGAAAAGAAAAATGATGTAATTATATCATAAACGTCAAAAAGAAAAGAAATAATTTTAAAAATGAGTTCAACTAATAGTCAATCATTAAGAACAAAACAAAATAAAAAGGAAGTCAAATGTAGTGGTACACACCTTTAAGCCTAGCACTCAGTGGGCAGAGCCAGAAGGATCTCTCAGAGTTTGAGGACCACTTGTTGTACATAGCAAGTTCCAGGCCAGTTAGGGCTACATAATGGCACCTTGTCCCCAAATAAAGTAACTTGGAGGACATGCTTAGGATAGCCTCCATTTATTTTGTCTCTTTGTGGATTAAACAGCTTTGATATTTGAAAAGATTAACTCTAGTAATAATTTCTAAAATAAGTAAAAATAAATTTTAACTTCCATATCATTAGAATAGCTTACTGTTTTAATATTATATGCTAATGTGTATTAACGGGTTTTCTCTCAGAATGGAGATAGAAACCAACAATTAGCCTTTCACCATCTGGACCTTATTTTTCCTCTGGGCATCTATGTTCCCATCTGGCAATGAAGGTCTGATCGGACAAATTTTTTTCAGATTTCTTCCTAACAGTGATAGAATGAACGGAAGCTCAAGTTTCTGTCGGGACTTGAATCTCACCTGTTATTATCTGCGGTTAGTTAAATACCTTTCACTCACCAAGAAATGTGACCAAACAGCACCTCTATTGAGGGCCACAGAGGTTTCACTGAGAACAAGCCCTTAAGGCTGTGGCACAGTTTGTGCACCAACTGTATGCTCCGCTCGCTCCTATAAATGGTAGGATCAGGTTTTAAGGTCAAGGAAAACATAAAGCCGAGCCCATGATGCAATGTAGTACTTTCCACTCTGGCACTCGGAGAAGGGAGGAGGGGACATGCCAGTGTCCTTCGCCACCAGAGGCGTCCCTCTGCCGTGATGAAACGGGACCTGTCAGGGTTTAAAAACAGAACACCGTCAGGGAGATGGCATAGCATCTTGGCAAAGAAATGCTTTGCATAGTTTCCGGCGTCACCGGGCGCTCCTTCCCCCCTCACACCCTGCTTCTATTTAAATCCCAGGGCAACCTCTCTCAAGCACATTCCCTCTTTAGCCAGTGCCCAGGCTGTCAGCAGAGAGGAAGCAGGTAGCATGGCCCCTGGAGAAAAGGAGAGAGGAGAGGGGCCAGCCAAGAGCGCCCTCCGCAAGGTGCGCACGGCGACCCTGGTTATCAACTTGGCCCGCGGTTGGCAGCAGTGGGCGAATGAGAACAGCACCAGGCAGGCCCAGGAGCCTGCAGGCTGGCTGCCTGGAGCAACCAACGACCCACCCCAGACTCCGGTGGTGTGCCCTGGTCCCCACCAGCACGCCCCCCAACCTCCATCCCCAAAGCCAGATGGACATGGAGATGGACAGCACTCAGATGCCGCCTCCGAGGTCTCTCACATCAGAAGGAAAGAGGTGACCAGGACAGTTGTCAGCAAGGCTTACGAGAGAGGGGGAGACGTGAACTACCTGAGCCACAGGTATGAGAGTGACCCGGGCATGTCTGCAGCGACTCAGCCAGAGAACGACATTGACAGGCTCCTCCTGGGTCGCGACTCGCCAACGCGGAGACGAAGGTGCACCCACCTGGTGTCTGAGCTGACCAAAGGCTGGAGGGTGATGGAGCAGAAAGAGTCCAGAAGGAAGAGTGACAGCGTAGACCCGGAGGACAGTGGCTACGGCGGGGACGTGGAGGACAGACCTGAACAGGACGCGGCGCAGGTGACCGCTGCCAGGATCAAACGCCCCTTGCCCTCCCAGTAAGTGAACGCCTCCTTCCACTCCCTTGTGTCTCAGTCCCCAAAGCCAGCGAGAGCGACACAGAAGGATGGGGACGTGATGCCAGCTGGAGCGGGTCCTTTAGGGAAGGGGAGCATCTCTGGCCTCAGAGGCCAGAGCTAAATTCAGAAGTGCTCCTTCTGGTCCATGTCATTACTGGCTCACCTGCTAGTGGGAACGGTGGATGTTGGCGCTGAGCCCTGAGCTCAGTTCTCCCTTAGCATGAAACAAGGTGTCGGTTTAATTGAACTCAGTGACCTCCAAAGCGCAGGGTTTTAGTACATACTACGCTGAAGGGCTTTGAAAGAGACAGGATAAGGGCTCTGTGCGTGTTCAGGGATGTGTATGTGTGTGCATGGGCAAGCATGTGCAAGCCCGTTTGCACATGAACCCCTCTGGCCCTACGTGTGGGTGTGGAGGCCAGGGAAGTATGCCAGGGGTCTTGTCCTGTGAGCAAGTTCTCCCCAGCATTTGTGTGTTCTGTGGGACAGGAAGCTGAGGTGCTTCAGTCACTGAGACAACTGGGCACTGACTCTCCGGTGGGGGCACAACTAGCTCCCTTCGTAAATATCCCAAACTGGGACTAGGAAATTCACTCGTAGGCCCCCTTGACACACTGAAGCTGGGATCTGGGTGAAGGACATTTGAGGACTTTCCAGTACCATTCCACGGGAATGGATCATATATACAACTCCCGGCTGTCATATTTTCTGCTAATTTTATTACCACTTAATAACTTACTCAAATAGATACTCACCAAAGGGCCGAACCATGATAAAATTGGTTCCCATGCTGTCACTACACTATGGATAAGCTGCATTCAGGTAAGAAAGCAGTATTAGGTTCATGCCATTTTTAGAGTGGACAGATTAGGAATGGTACGACATTTTTGTTAATAAAGCTAAACTTTCCAAGGTACTTTGCCTATCGCATCTGATACAATTAATCATTTTGCATATTCATATAGAGGAAACAATGCTGGTCTCCTAAAATATCGGTGACACAGTGATTGCTCTGCTGACAATCCATACCATATTGTCTTTAGGAAGACAAATCTAAAGCAGTGGTTCCCAACCTGCCTGCTGCTCTGACCCTTTAATAAAGTTCCTCACGTTGAGGTGGCTCTCACCATGAAACTATTTCCACTGCTACTTCATACCTGCAGTTTTGCTGCTGTTATGAATCATAATGTAAATATCCGTGTTTTCTGATGGTCTCAGGTGACCCCAGTGAAAGGGTTGTGTGACCCTTAAAGGGGTCGTGACCCACAGGTTGAGAACCGCTGATCTGAGCCATTTTCACCAGAAAATTTAAAGCATGCAATAACGTATTATATTCAGTGACCTAAAAGATCTCTAGGATATGAGAGTTTCTAATTCCAATTTAAGCCACTTTCATACTTTTAACAATTCAAAATATAAAGCCATCCATACAAGATGTTCGTTGGTATAGAAAAGACACATTGTGGGATGTATTTTTCAAGTGTTTTAAAATAGACTTTTTTTTTTTCTGTTGTGTGAGACAGGGTTTCTCTGTATAACAGCCCTGGCTGTCCTGGAACTTGCTCTTGTAGACCAGGCTGGCCTCGAACTCACAGAGATCTGCCTGCCTCTGCCTCCTGAGTGCTGGGATTAAAGGTGTGATCCACCATGCCTGCCTATACTTATTTTCCAGTTCTTGATTTGCCCCCCTTCCTCTTATTTTGGGGAATTACAATATGACAATGAAATGAGACTTAGAAAGTGCTTCTTCTAAATGTCAAGGGCTTCTCCACTGACTTATTTCCAAACCAACAAAAACTCTTGTTTCCAAACACTACTGAGCTCCAATACTCAGCACCTAACCTCCTAATTCAAGGCAGAAGACAGAAATTGTACCTTAAGAAACCAGAAAGTCATAAAACGCAAAGTTTAAACAGATCGCCTCTGGATGCTAGTGTAAGCATTTTTCTACTATACCTTTTTTCCTTTATAAAAATCGAAAACTAAACTTAATACCCACATGAGAATATTCAAGTTCGTATCTTCAATTGGTTGCCTGGATGCCTATGTAATATTTTCATTTGTGCATAACATCACCGAATTCTTCACCCCGGTGCCCCCACACTTGAGTTGCAAATGCAACTTTGTTACCTGGATTCCTTTTGTGGATGAGTATCTTTTAGGGTGCTCTTGCCACTATCCACTGGCTCCCCAAAGAGCGCTTAGGTGGCATCATGTAAATGGCAGATGGAGCAGCCGAGCAGCCAGGCCTGCCGAAGGCTGAGCCTGTGGTACTTGAGCGTGGGGCAGAGCTCTGGGTGTGTGCTGAGACACTACTGCATCATGCAACTACTCTGAGTTACCTCACCCTTTGGAACTGGATGGATACTCACTTTGAAATAGCCACTAGAATTTTTCCTTGAGGTAGCTTCCGTCTTCATCACTGTGGCTTCAAGGGTACGACGTTTGCTCTTCCAGGATTCCCAGCCCATACTGGGGAGTAGAGTAAGTAGCTGATGGCAAGGCGTTGACAGCTCACCCCAAAAGGGCTGAGGGGAAATCTAGTCGACTTCACTATGTGTTTTTGCTTTTAGCACTGTTTCAGACTTCAGGGGTTGCAATAAACTTGTGTTGTGCCGTTTTTCCCAGGTAAACCTTGCTGCCTGGTTGTCTCCACACCGCTGTGAAAGAAAGTGTTACATCAGAGCAACCCCTTCCAGTTCTAACCTCACAGTGAGACCACAGGGCCTTCTGAAACATAAACGTGGGAATTAGTGAAATTTCGCCATCTAGTGGCTGTTACTTCTTTCATAAGGGTGCACTTGGACCACGTACAGGCTTGGTGTCTGGCTTGACAGGCTGCATGCCTTCCTTACTCAACGAGAGCAAACATTTGTCTCCTGGCACCAGGACAATGTGATGAGTCCCATCGGCTCAGGGTTATCCTGACAGAACGGAGCTTAGGACCACAGAGACAGAGGCCTGAAACACCGTAGAAACAGCTGCTATGACTCACTGGCCTGTTTGTCATTGGAGCAGAATTTAGGAAGTTTGTACAAGGACAGATAAACCTGGCTCACTCTTGGGCTTAGAGCAGGGAATTGCGAGTGCTCATAGAGCCCTGCCATGCCACTCACAGAGATGAGTAATGTCTCTTCACATCCTGGCGACTTAGTGCTCCTCAGAATGAAGGTGGTTGCCTTAGGAAGATGGGGTACATTTTTCAGTTTTCCAAAAAAAAAAAAGTCTAATAAATTGGAGATACATACAGAAGCAACAGAGAAGTTGTTCAGGTGCAAAATTTAGCTATTTGAAAATTAGTCTGTACCTTCTTATAATGACTGCAGTGTTTCAAAAGCTGGGTCTTGTGGTTTTAATAAAGAAAATGAAGCCCAGATTCCAAGGGGACAGACAGACAGACAGACAGACACACACACACACCACACACACACTGAAATACAACCCATTCATCACACTGATTTTAGCTTCGGTTTTGCAGAATCTGCTACAGACTCAAGCAGTATTTCCTAAGAGTGGCACACTGAGCTCTTGTGACAGCTTAACTTGGCTTCAAAGCCCAGTCTTAGCCTCCCACTTACTAGTGTTGTGTTAAAGATGTTCTGAAATCGTTATGGCTTCAGTCTGCTCATCTATACAGCTGATAGAAATATTATCCATCTTATAGATGGTTGCAGAGAATAATAATGAAGTGTTTGGAAGAATGCCAGCACATTATGTTAAGGAAGTGTTCTTACTGCCAGCAAGCGCTACCTATTTCTACACTGCGTGCATCACTAACACTAGTGTAAACAGGCTCTCAGGGGGAGAAATGCACAAAATTCTATGTACAACTATTACAATCTGTATAGTAGTACCAAATGCATGCAGCAACTGGTGTCAGAAGCCCTCTGAGAACTAGTTTCCAGTTCAGGGACGTTTATAACAGGAAACACATTAGAAACAGATACTTTCATACAGTAAGTAAGGGTGGCCTTGTGTTTTGTTTTTTTTTTTTTAACTTGAGTTTAATATCATTAGTGTTTAACTCATCCTTGTTACAGAGAAAGTGACCTAGAATACAAAGTAGTAATGATAGAAAACTTTCTCCCTTTTTTTTTTTTTTTTTGTAAATAGTAACATGTATTTTATCATAACGGGAACTACACTCACACTCAGATGCATACCCATGGGAGGTACAAAGGGAAACGCCACTTGTCAACCTTGCTTCTCCACCTTCTCTCCTTCAGGGCAAACAGATACACGGAGACACTCAGCTGCAAGGCGCACCGGAAGTACAGCCAAGTGGACAGCTTGAAAGGGCGGTGGCAGCAGTGGGCTGATGAACACATACAGTCACAGAAGCTCAACCCCTTCAGTGACGAATTTGACTATGACCTGGCCATGTCCACTCGGCTACACAAGGGAGACGAGGGCTACGGCCGTCCCAGGGAGGGAAGCAAGACAGCGGAAAGGGCCAAGCGAGCCGAGGAACACATCTACCGGGAAATCATGGAGCTGTGCCTGGTTATCCGCACGATGGCTCGCCACAGACGAGACGGCAAGATCCAGGTGACTTTCGGAGAGCTCTTCGATAGATACGTTCGTATCTCAGATAAAGTGGTGGGCATCCTCATGCGTGCCAGGAAACACGGACTGGTGCACTTTGAAGGAGAGATGCTGTGGCAAGGCAAAGATGACCATGTTGTGATTACTCTCCTTGAGTAGGTCCTCAGCCCATCAGTCACCGCTGTTCTACTGTTAAATAGTGGGTTACAAGTTCAAAGGCAAGCTGCTCGGGAATGCTATCAATATTAAATATTTTATATACGTAAATGGCTTTTGGGGCTATTTCTATGAGATCACTACATGAAGATTTTAATAATTTTAGAGGTTCATAGACTTTAATACATAATCAGCATATTAATATTTTGAAATTTTACTTACCTTTTTTTTAGGCAGAAATATTTGGCCTTCATTACTGAAATTATTCCAGATTGAAAAATTACACATTACAGTTAAGACACATTGCAGTTAAGAAAGCTGACCTTAGACAAAGTAGAATATCACAATGTAAGTCATTTTTAGGGGGAAAAATTCCATTATACTGGATAAAACTAAAAATTTGACTTCATCTTTTTTTCTTAAAAAAAAAAAAAAAAACCCATAAAACAAACTAGACAGTCACTAGGCTAGCCTGGCCTCAAACTCTAAAACTCTGTTTAGCTAAGG